AAAAATAATTGGTACTTTATCTGAAGTGTCCAATTTTGTTTGTCCTGCTTGCATTAATCCACAACAACAAATTCGAAATAGCAATGTTTTTGAAGCCATTAAAGTAGAGAAAGTCACATTGTTTCAATATCTAGTGGATGTTCTGGATTGTACTGAAACAGCTGAAGCTGTCGTTCGAGCACGCATACGTGCAGCCTGGAATAAATGGCATCTCCTTGCCTCTATATTGATGCGGCGTGATCACTACCACTACGATCAAGACTTTATAAATCTGTGATACGTCCGGTGTTGTTATATGGTGCAGAAACATGGCCAATGACAACCAAACTGGAACAACAACTTTAACGAACCAACATGAAAATGCTCCGATGGATGCAACGAATTAGTCTGAAGGGCCACATCAAATCTACCGAAAACCTGCGTCGTGCTGGTTTAGATGATATAAAGGACGAATGCCGGCAGCACCGTCTGCGGTGGTTTGGTCATGTCAAACGAAGTGGAAACAGTGCCATAACTTCTTTTGCAGATGGTACCTGACACACGTCCCAAAGGCCGTCCAAAGAAGTCCTGGTCGCAAACAATCGAGCAAGACGTGAAAGCTCTAAATTTAAATGAAATGGATACAACTGATCGTCTAATTTGGCGCAAAAAGTTGATGGCAAAGAAAACAACGTCCTACCTCAGGGAACTGGGTCTCTGGACACTAAACGAAGATTGATTGATTGAAATTGGTAAGTTTTGGGTTACAGGCATCTTCTATGTTAAATTATTGAATTTTTCACTATATGCAAACAGAAACAAATGTACATTTATTATTTTGATCCACAAATGTTTATTATGAAATTTTGTTATCAATCTTTCCTCAATTCGCTTACTATGTTGAAACAATAGTGTTTTGTAGGTAGGGATTAACTTAAATGACTGAGCTACTAAAATTTGGGGAATATCAAAGCATGTGGGACAAAATATTGGGAAGGCGAAAAGAGCATTGTTTTTTCAAAACGAAAAAAGCTTTTGATGTTGTCTATTTCAGACGCAAAAAGGCAACATTTTGTCAGTAAACTGAATTGATGATTGAGCTATTAACTGCTTAACAACATGACTGGAATAAATCAATCTTTTAAATGTAATTTAGATTTTTACTTATTATTGTTGATGAAATATGTGAGCAAAAGAACTGCAATAAAAATAGAAAAATATTAAATGGTTAACTGGTTCTTAAAGCAAGTTGGGATAGGTTTTGCATCAAATGGAGGTGAAGAAATGTGTGTGTTTGTGTGTATGTGTGTGTGTATGTATGTGTGTGTGTACCGTTTCTTTGATCAACCGACGGAGCGATTGTTGGAAGAAAGCTGCTCGCGACAGTTTTCTTGCAGCATTCGGGCAACGAAAACCACATCATATCAACCGTGCTTCTACCTCCCTGAAAGTCGCGTTGAGCTTCTGGGATGATGAGATTGACAAAATGAGTCTGAAGATATCTGAGCATAGAGGGGATAACGCCCAAAGGAATTATTTGAGCAGTAGACGGTAAAGATATCCCATGATTGTTGTCACATACCTGTTTATGTCACCTTTCTTTTTCTAAATAGTGACAAAGCTTGCTTGCGTCCTTCCATACATAGCTTGGGCAGTCGTCCAGTTTTTCAGACTATACACTTTTATATATATATATATATATATATATATATATATATATATATATATATATATATATATATATATATATATATATATAATTTTAGGCCAATCACGTTGCTTTCAGGTTTTTCAATAATTTAAACATTTTGGAAGACTGATTCAAACAAAAATGGTAAATTTTATTTCAAAATTCGACATCTTAAATGAAAATCAATAAATAAAAATCAGTTTGGCTTCAGGAAAGGATATTCTGCCGAGCTGGCGATAATTGATAAAAGGCATCGGAGAAGCAGCAAAAAAAATACTTACACTGAGAGTTTTTCTAGATTTATCAACAGCGTTTGATACCATTGATCACAGCATTCTTCAAAAATTATGTGTATAAGGGTTTCGTGGCACAATACGTAAGTGACTCGAAAGCTACCTATTAAATCGACATCAATACGTTGAGATCAATGGAACCAACTCTTTCAATCACCCAGTGACTGGAGATGTTCCGCAAGGTAGTATTTTGGGCTGTCTACTTTTTCTGTTATACATCAACGAACTCAGTAACTCGTAAATGTTTTTGACTTCGTACTGTACGCAGACGACTCAAATATTTTCTAGAGCGAACACAGAATTGAGTCTCTTATCGAAAACGTCGGTAACGAACTTAAAAATGTTTTTAATTGGTGCAACGCAATTAGAATTTTGTTTATGAATGACTTCAGGATTTTTTTTAATTTGCGTAAAGATATAACATTGCAGATTAGGTTGTTTTTTTAAATTTATTCCATTGTCGGGGTCCCGAGCAACTAATATGGAAAAATAAAATGTTCTATCTTTGCCGGTTTTAAAACAAGACAGTTTTGTTGTCGTGTTTCTCTAGCTTTTTTGTATTTGAAGTAATCAACGAATGCATGCGGAAGAAGGTCATTTAGAGTTTGAAGACGAAAATTCCTGTAAGGTAAGCATGTTGTTGGGTGAAAGAGAAGACGAGATTTGATTGTGATGAAACATTTCTGGAATTTATTGAGTGAAGGTAACTGTCTGAGAGCATTTTTACTGCCCTTTTCATGAGTTGAGAAATTGCTTTAGTGTTGGATTTATACGTTGAAGCTAAAACTAAATTACAATAGTTTACAAATGGCAGACAATGCATTGTAGAACAACGTACGGCTTTTAGTGGGAAGATAAAATCCGTATTTGTTGATTAAGCCCAGGCCTCTGGCAAACTTTGAATCAACAATTTTTATGTGAGATACAAATGTTAATTTTTGATCTAGGTACATTCCTAAGAATTTGCAAACTTTAGTTTCACTTATACTTATGTTGTCAATTGTAATTTTGTATGGCTCCTTATAGTTTAGGTAATGGGCATGACCGAATATCATCAACTGAGTTCTAGTTTTGTTTATTGTTAGTTTGGCTCCGGTCTCGATTGGAGCCCTAGGGTTCCCCCAGAATGGGGCAACAACAACAACCAAATCTTATAATGAAGACAAAAATGATTTCAATAATTTCTTGAACAATTTTTCTGTCAGTTCGGGCTGTCTTAGATAACTTGGTAGACTATTCCAAACGGCTGGTCCACATACTGAGAAACTTCTCTCAGCCATTTTCAAGTTGGTTTGGGGCACACATAACAAGTTGCTACCATCAGACCTTAAGCAGACAGTTTTAAAAGACAGTTGTTTCGGTGCATGCATTTCTTTCAAATAAACTGGCGCCATTCCCTTCATACATTTGAACATGATTGTTGATATTTTGAACAAAATTCTTTTTTTGACCATCATCAGTGCAGTTCTCTGAATATCGGGGTAACATGGTCAAACTTTTTTGCACCAACCACGATCTTAGCTGCGCGATTCTGAATTGACTGAAGCACAGATAACGATTTTTCAGACAAACCATAAAATAGGCTGTTACAGAAATCCAGTCTAGAATGAATAAACGAATGCACTATACTTTGAATAACATCTTTGGTTAAGCTTTTGCGGATTATTTTTAATTTTCGCAGTTGTAGGGTTGCAGTACCAGATAAAAACTTGATATGTTCAGTCATTGCCAGTCTAGAATCAAAAATGACACCCAAGTTTATGGCCTTGGGAATGAAGTTTATATTTGAGCCCTCAATGATAACTGAATTGCCAAGCTGTTGCCAAGTTCCAACCAGAAGAATTTGCGTCTTACTTTGATTGAGCTTAAGTATATATATGTATACATCAAAGGATCTCTAAATATGCATACATTGCAATGTTTAATTCACTCGTTCATTCACTCGAGGATCGATTATTGCAACAGTTTATTCTACGGTTTACCCAAAATGTATGTTGCACAGTTACAATTAATTCAAAATCGGGCTGCCAAGTTGTTAACTGGTGGTTCATATTTTGATCATGTTACTCCTATTCTCTTCAATCTTCATTGGTTGCCCGTTCAACAAAGAATTATTTTTAAAATTGCCCTACTGGTGTACAAAAGCAATAATGGATTAGCGCCGAAATATTTAATGGATAGAATTGTTCCTAGAAATGCACCGTTACAGTGTCAGAAGTTACGGTCAAACGATTTAGATTTGTTAACAATTCGTCAAACTCAGCTTGCTGTTGGTTGCTGAGATTTCGCTGTTATGGGACCGAAGATTTGGAACAGTTTGCCAGTTGACTTGCGAAATCGTGGGTAGTCAATTACTGAATTTCGAAGAAAGCTAAAGAACCATCTTTTTAGACAAACTTTTCATGATATGATTTGATTGAGGTGAAACATTTAATCAACTTTTGCATTGGCGCATTTAATCAACTTTTACATTGTTAGCGCCTTTGAGAATAATAAAGGGCGCTTTATATATAAATAATCTAATATATATATATATATATATATATATATATATATATATATATATATATATATATATATATATATATATATATAAAGACATAAAGAGTGTCGTTTTAATAAAATTAATTAATTAATTTTTAATCAATTCAGAATTTTTATTGTATTTTGTGTCACAGTAATTTGAGCCAAGTGACTTTGGTTCAGATGCTCTATCAGAAGAGGAAGAAACATGCTGGCACAATCGGCTGTACATACGAAGTAGAGATTTTTATTTAATTCATGTTTTAAATAGCATTATCCATTGATTGTCATTTTCTGAAACATGAATGGGAAATTGTGAAGTCATGTTTCATGAAGCAAAATCCATAGATGGGCTAAGCTAAGCTGTTAGATTGCATTACCACTGGGTAATTTGTAAGCCAAAGCACAAATGACTTGATATTCCGGACAATCAATTAAATTATTTTAATTATTTTAATATTTGATTTATTCAAATGTTAAAAAATCATTAATTTTTTCATTTACTGTCTTGAAAAATGAACCTTGTACATATGGAAAATCCCAGTGTTGTCGATGCTTGGTTAAATGTTACTTTGAGGCGAAACGTTGAAACATCAGAACTGAGTAAAGTGTTTCTCAACATTTTTGTACCATGCCTCCGACTTCAGTTCGCCTACAGACCAACTTTCTTAACTGAAACGTCACTCATCTATGTCCATGACATAGACTAGACTGATGTAAATTAGTTGTTTAGTTTGATAGAAGTTGATGGTCTGACTAGTTCCGGACTATCAATTAAGTTATCTAATCTGACTCGAGCCACAACAATTAATTATCTAATCTGACTAGAATCTGACAAGTTTTTGTATAAATCAGAATTGTGCTATTTTGCTCAGCCTGTAGTCTGTACTTGACAGTTGCCTTTGACACTGTTAACCAGCAAACGTTACACGGTAGACTGGAGTCTGAGTTTGGTTTTAAAGGTCTGGTTTAATCCGTCACATTCGACGCTGTCAAGTTGACATCATTTTCAGCTTCATTTTATCACACCTTGATTATTGCAACTCTATCTAATCTGGTATTCGACGGGTACAAAATAAACTTGCTCTTGATACACCCTGGCTTGCCTCAAATATAGTACTCACTAATAAAGCCACACTAAAAAAATTACGCTGCATTATGTTCCAACTCATGGTTATAACATAACAGGTGTTAAACAACAACCACAATATCTTCATGATCTCTCGCATTTTCCACAACATCCCGACCATCAACTCCTATCAAACTAAACTACTTATTTACATTAACCTGTTAGCCAGTCTTTTTTCGTTTATCGGAGTTTCCTTTCCTGAAGAACGACTTGCCTTTTCTTTCAGGAACAACCATCATTAAGTCTATTTAAAAGGCATTTAAAGTATCAGGGTACAACATCGATGGCAACTGATCATGCTCCTGACGCTACGCATGGGACGTTGCATAAATTACATATTATTATTATTATTATTATTATTATTATTATTATTATTATTATTATTATTATTATTATTATTATTATTATTATTATTATTATTATTATTATTATTATTCTCCACATTCTTATCCATGTAAGTACAGTTCAACCAGGAACATCTACAGTACATTCATATTCACGCACGCACGATCATATGATAACGTCACACACACACAGGATTACATCAATGCACGCGCTCGATTCAGTTACCAACTGGATTGCACGGGAAGTACAACGTACAGGCATCTCCTATCATCGTCACTCATTAGCGCCAAGTCTTTTCGGGATAATCACGATGATTGTTCGTTTGCATGCATGAATTCAATTTGTTGCCGCATGATTGAATGGCCGTCGTTTTCATTTGATGCATAGGAAAATCATTATTTGTTCATTCCAAAATTAAGCTTTTTTACGTTTTTTGTAATTATATTACATGTTAACAACTGTTTTAAAAATGAAATTAGGTTTTGGTTCAATATTTTAAAAAAATGTGATAATCAAATTTTTTTTTTTTAGAGCACACGTTTTGTTTTTTTGTTTATTTTTTCATGAATGTTTGAAAAATTATTTGCATTTAAAAATTATTTATTGAGAAATATCTTCAAGGTTTAATATGAGTAGAAGGTTATTTATTTAATCTAAAAAAGATGTTTGTTTCAAACTATTATTTATCTACTCTGAAATTTTGATTTAAAAAATTTGTTTATAATTTTGTTGTATTGGTATCTCTGGCTTATGAAATGACTTTTTCATATTTTGAGGTGTCTTTCCTGAGACGATGGTTTTGTTGTGGCTCGAGTCAGAGGATCCTCTGCCTGTGCCCTCCTCGTCGTCCTCGCAAATATTCATCATGACATTCAATATGAATCAATGGTATCTCTCCGGAATGCCAGCCAGGTCAGCAGTATAATGCCGTTCATATCCAATTTATTCTCTTTGTTTGCATTTACAATACTGACTATAATGACTGGCTCTCTCCAGTTGAAATTCAACGTAACAATTCATTGAACAAGCATAACTCATTAAAATAAAATGCTATGTAAGAGTTTTGTGTGAAGTTATAGTGTTGAAAGTATCGAGAAATGAAGGTTACATTTCATAGCATGTAGAAAATTAGAGGTAATTAGTTATTGAAAGTTCATTATATTGGTCTATAATGATAGTTGTGATGGCTCAAAGTTATGTACTGCAGAATTCATTCTTTTACTTTGTTGGACATATTTATATCAGACATAATTATTTTCTTAAAATATGCAACATATCGAATATATCAATATTAGTGGATATACATCAGTTTAAATCATTTTTTTGTTTCAAGATGGGAAGACAGCAGATTCATGCAAATTCATCACCTTGGTATGCTCGCCCAACTTCTGTTGAACCAACATATTCTGGTTAGTTTTTACTGATTTGTCTGTGCATTTATTTCATCATCATTGTTGCAAATGTAAACACTGCTGACTCTGCACATATCAAGTGCTTTCTGAATTAATCAATTTTATTGAGATGTCACTGGAAACGAATATATTGGTTTCAATCATTTTTATAATGGTCGTGAACTCATGTTTCACCACTATTGTGTACCGATAATTAACGTTTGCAGCATGTTTCCGTTGGAGAGAAGCCTGCATCTTACTACCTGGATGGCAACAACCAGGCGTTTCGCACTGCTCCGGATTATGGTGGGTTTCCCAATCAAAAAATAGTTCAAGATTTTTCAAATGATATCAGACATTTTGTTTTGCAAAACACTTGAACTTTCGCTTATGTAACGCATAATAAACACGAAAGCAAGAGTTGGCAATCCGGGTTGGATAACACGAATTGGGCGAAGGAACTATCGCGCCCTGCTTGCCGGTCGGTTAATTCGGTCTTGTTAACCGCCGACAGGTCTTCTTCTGACATTTGTCTTTTATTTGTCATGTTTTACGTTTATAAAAAGTCAACTAGGAATTGTTATGAGTTTAAAACGTTTATTAAATCACAATAAAAATCAAATTACTAACGATTTTCAGCGTTTAACAAATTAAAAATAATAAACAATATCTAACGTTCAGATGAAAAAAAAATTAAAATTCCTAACACTTTCCGGATAAAAAAAATATCCATTTCCGGCCTCTCAAAAAATTTAGATTCCGAAAAATATCTCCGACTCCGACACTGTTTTTACAGCTTGTATTGCATGCACTGCCACACTTACCATATTCTCCAAATCTGGCGCCTTCCAATTATTATTTGTTCCAGTCACCGCAAAATTTTTTGGACGGTAAAACTTGTACATCAAAGGAATAGGTCAGAAACGCTCGGATCGGTTTTTTGCCAGCAAAGAGAAAGACGAAAAATGTTATGAGCGTGGAATCTTGTTACTACCCGAAAGATGACAGAGAGTTAGACCAGAATGGCCAATATATAACTTAATAAAATATTTATTCATTACACAAAAATTGTCTATCATTTTCACAAAAAATGAAACGGAATTACTTTTTAAACAAGTCAATATAGCCTGTGGTGGTTTATATTCTAAGTTGAAGGTGTATTCCATGTTATACGCTGATAGTTCTATATTCTCTAGTTTTATGGAATGCTTCTTTTCATAATGTAGAATTAGGATTTTAATAATGTTGGTAGTTGAAATTGACATCACTCAGGTCTAACATGCATTACTGGCCAGAAAATTGTACACATCAGCCTCACATCCGAGTTCACTCAGGTATCTCTTGCATGATTAGCAACCAGTTAATTGTTTTGGTTGCATTAAATTTAGCTTGCTAGTGGGATGTTTGATTGCTCTTTTGATTTGATTTAATAGTATATGTAATAAATTAAAATGTTATCCAATAAAATGTTTTAAACACCCAAATGTCATAATCCATTTTTATTTGGTGTTAAAATCTGATAAAGCAAGTAATTAGAAATGTTATGTAAAGTAGGTTTTAACATCATTTAACAAGAAAGTGTGTTGTTTTGATCTGGTTATAACTAAAGTTTTCAATTTCAATCTATTTTTAAATAGTTTATAAAGCATTTGGAAAAAGTTGGGATTGGGTTATTGAAGGATTTGGATCAGGTGTTGAATCTTTGTATCAGATATAATCTTTTGAACTCTCTAGAATTCCCTGCAGATGAGGATGGCCAGGTTATTATTTGAAAGCTTGAGTATTTGCATTCCATTCGATTGAATAACATGAATGTTTTTTTTTTGAAACACACTAGGTTATTAAACACAAGGCTCTGCTTACTGTTTTGATGAGGTTAAGGAAAGAGAAACTACTGATCGATTTCATACATTGTTCGCTTCTTTCGAGTTAGAATTATAGAATCATATTCATATTTAATTTATTATTTAATTTTAAACGTAAATGTATGTTGTGAATGTATCAAATGTAACTTGTGTTACTTGAAGATGCAGACCAAAGTTGCATGGATGTGGAAACATTGGCTGAATGGGCACTGCAGTCTGTGGAGCTTACATGTGAAACATTCAACAGCTTCAGTTCGTAATAGAACATTTGTTTAATTTTATTATGTTATTGTTATGCCATGTCCTGGTTATGAATGTCCTGGTTATGACATTAAACTGACCCTCACTGCCTTGTGAGTGATGTTGGATCATCAAAGGCTAGGCCCACCGCTTATAACTGTGGTTGCGTAAGGAAGGGCGTCCTGCGTAAAAATTAGCCAAATAAATTACTTATGATGGAATGGCGTCGATGGGTATTTCGGTTTCATCATAGGTAGCCAAACGGTAACCCCCGATCTCGGGGAAAATGTCGTCTAAACGTGTGTTGTTGTATTGTTATGCCATCATTATAGCACGAGATGCCAATTGATCATGATTATTTTATTGCTAACAACTCATTACGTGCAACGTAATCTCCGTCTTGAAGCATGTAACAATACAGCATACATCGCCATCCTTAAGAATTTTATTGCATATGTAACAATTTTTTTTTGAACCATGTAGTGTATATACCTTTATGACTGAGCTGATTAATATGAAAAATAAACAACTCAAAATGTTGTATGCTAATTATACAAATTCTAAATTCTTACTTTCTAGCAAGAGTTTTTTAACATTTTAAAATGTCTAATGTTTTTGAGTTCTTTACATGGTTGTTAATATCGAAGTATCGATATTGTATTTTCAATACCTTTTCAGTATTGGCTACGGTGCCGACAATGCATTTGTTAAGTGGTATCGAATTTAATATCGAAAATAACTTTTAAACTGGAAAATTTCGATAGTCAATACGAAAACATTTGATCAAAACGTTGAATTTTGAATTGAAGTGAGTATTGGTAGTGTTAACAATCCTGGTTCTTTATAATCAAAATTTATAAATGTCATATGTAAAGAATGTTCATGCGACCTTAATGTTTAATGCTACATTGCCTGATTTAATCTGCAAATCTTGTAATCAACAGTGCATCCGATATTTGAGTACGGATCACTGAACGTCGATGACCACAGCATGGACACGACTGATCAGTGCGTGAACTCCTTCAACCTGCTCATCAACTTCATCACTTCCCTCCTCACCTGCTGCTCAAACGCTTTATCACTGCAAAGTTACTTTTTTTCAAATTGTTAATTAGTTAATTATCAAAACGTATGATTGCGTTTGTGTGCAATTTATGATGATTTTGTGTGTAAACTGTCATTGTGCTAAGATATTATCATCATTTACAGACTTGCTGCATCATAATTTCCTGCTTGGTTGTTAAGCTGCGCAGGTCCGTTTGCGACGTTATAACATTTGGCCCTTACATTCTTGTTTCCATGGAATATAACGCATTGAGCACTTTTAAATTTTTTTGACAGCATGCGAAGCGTTGAAGAGTCGACTCTGTGTTAGTTTCTTGATGGAGGATTACATGCAGGCCAGCATCTGGACAGTCACCTGTCTTTTTCTTCATCACTCTCATGGTTCTAATTTTATTAAATTTTTATTTTTTAGTGAAAATGTTCGAATGATGCACTTGAACATGATCCTAACATTTTTGCACTTGAACATGATCCTAACATTTTATGTGCATTATGTTTTGCAAAATTTTTAGGCTTTTTTAAATCTGATCAATGAATAATTGTCAATTAATTAATTATTTACTACTATTCCATTTAAAGGTTCAAACACCTTTGAGAAATTAAAAACTGATTGCCTTGATGGTTATGGAAAAAGAAGAGCAAGCAGAAGGTTGGCGTTCTTACTTTTATTCATCTTCTATTATTTATTCATTTATTCGTTCTTCATCTTCTATTTTTTGTTCATTTAACTAACTCATCAATTACCAGTTTCTAATTATCTACCAAACCGAAGTAAATCAATTACTAACTTGCAATATTTGAAGAAATAATTATACTATAATCATAAATTATGATTAACTTGTAGCATTTTTACTGTTATGTTTAAGAGAGTTAAAAAGTTATTTGTTCAACAAAGCATTTAATCACAGTACAATCCTCTGAGGAATGTCAATAGAGTGAATAACATAATAATATTTATGGAAAACTGGACATTTATAGATATTGGAACTTTGGTAGCAAACTGAGTTTATCCTTCTCTGTCATTTGATTTTAATCGTTTTGCGTTGTTTCAGTTACTTTATGCAATTTTAGTTTCACGTTCATTTTTATACTTGAATATGTTTTGTGGCTTTACACACAAGCAAGTTCTCTGGCTTCGGCCCTTTGGAATAATAAAATAAAAAAAATTACTTCACCATTTCAACGGCGTCACGAACAGACTGTTGATTGATTACATCATGAACTGTAACGATAATGGTAGCAACAAATTTGATCGTTATGAAGATGATGAAGAGATGATAAATGATGGAAAACATGCAACTTTGCAGAAGTATTTAATTGAATGTCAGCAAAAACCTGTTTATCCACTCGCTTCTATCAACGTTAGTTACCCTTCAATGTTGTCCTCTTCTGTCGAAATTTTTTTTACCCTACTGCATATTGTTTGCTCAAGCTCATTTGGATGTCATGTTTCATACGATGCCAGAATGTGTTGTGATATGATGGTTGTGCTTAACAAACATCACTTCAATAAATGATTGTAGATTTTTTATTATTCCTTTACATCACATCAGTCATTAATATCTGAACCATCTTATTTATTTGTATGACGTCAGACATTGTTAGGAGTTTACTTGCTATGGGATGTCTCCATGGCAACAAAGCATGCCATTCTGATGTACTTTACAAGAGATGTCCTGCATGAACATAAGAAGGTCTAACAATATCTTCTGAGTTCTCATCATTTAGTTGAATAATTTAAGATAGTTCAATGCAATCATTTCATTTTGCACCAGGCAGAAGATGTCTTGGAATCATTTCAGCTGATCTTCAACGTGCCTCATCATCTCGTCCAACTCATACACGCTTGCTGGCTGCTCGATCACGACAGATTCAAGGCTTGTTTCAAATATAAAACATCACTTTTGTCACTACATTGTTTTAAAATTTTATTAAGAAGACCGTTAACGCCTGCTTGACTAAATGTCAGATATTCTTTGCAGGAATCCTTCCAAATATTCAAAACATTGAAAGCAACAACTTTTCCAACTGACATGTGCCATGCTATTATACGTACATATTTGCATAACAACGAATTACAGTGCTCGCTCAGCTTGTCTTATAAGTTGCTTGACTCTAAAATGGACGTCTCATCTCAAAAGTTGTTCCTTGAAGTTCTCCTTTCAAACAAGTTCGTCGTGCTTCTGTACAAGTTCACTCTTCTTGACAACATTTACCCTTTTATGTTTGTTCATTGAAATAGTTTTTTTTAATTTGTTGTTACTTGATTTTATTTAATCTTCACTTTTATTTCACTTTTTAACTACTCATAAAGAAAGATACGCAACGCTTTTGAGTTCTGGCTGAAATGCAATGGAGTTGATGTTGCTGAGTTTACTCTACTAATTTGTAAATTTGCCTTCAGTTAGGATTTTTTGTTCATTTTAAATCATTAAATAAATTTTCTGCAAATTTGTTCATTTTTTGAAATTTTTTGAAGTTCGAGGCTGTCTTATTAATTATGAGAACAAACAGCAAAATTATGACAATTGTTTCTTCTCATTATGATTGAATTGAAGTTTTTCACATTCGTTGTAGAGGAGTTTCTGAATGAAATCAATCTTCAGCCTTTCTTGTACCTTAACAGCCAATACAAACATTTGTGCCTTCGTGTCATCCAAATAATCATCAATAACAATTTGGTAACAAACATTCAACAAGTTAGTCTCTTAATTTTCCGTTTATTAACTTGAACTTATCAATAAACACAGCTACAAATATTCGTAAGAAGAGTATGTAGTGCTAAAAAGGTGAAGATGCTCCATTGCAAATCGCATCCATGCAGTGCTAGTCATGTGACTGAGATAACTAACGCGTAATTAGTTAAAAAAATAGTGTTTTATTTTTGATTAAACAGGTTAAAAGAACATTTTGTTGAGAACATTGTTGTCAAAATTTATTTATTTTTTAGAGTAGACAAGATGGAAATGTGAGATGGCTTGAACAGGTAGAATGAAGAAAAAATATTTAAAAGTTGACAGATAAAATATGAGAAAGAATATTTGATCATAAATGAAAAAGAAATTGAGCTGGATAACATTGTAATGTATTAGAAACACACATGGATGAATTAAACAATTTTTTTTACTTTTTATTAATTATGTAAAATGTAGAACCATTAATTTTATTGTCTGAAAATATAATTAATTTTTGGCTTGAAGGCGGAAGGATTGAAAAGAATGATCGTTGGAGTGGACTGCAATCTATCATCTACTGCTTTCCGATTCACAAGTAAGTTGCATCGTTATTTAAACAAATCAATCAGTTTTGTTTTTGCTTACTTTGTTGCTTAGTTGTTTTACAAAATGTCATTTTATGTAACTGCTTAATTTCGTGACGAAAATTCATTTTGTTATATATTTAAAGTTACGGTTAAAAATTCATTATATAAAGTTCATTTAAACTGAAAATATATTTTTTATAGATAAGCAAAATGAAATGAAGAATGAATTATTTTTTTTGTCTTTTGTGGAAGATGAGTTACCATCCACTTGGTTTGTTCAATTTTTCCATTATCAGTTTTATGTCACATTTTGGCTTTGATATCATTGATATAAAAAAAACTACAAGATAAGTCACGTTCATACATTTATCTATAACATTTATTGCTACGAAATCTTATTTCAAATTCCATTAATATTTATTATACAATTATGTATACGAGCATATATATATTATATATTGGTAATTATTTAAGTGCAACATATATATATATATATATATATATATATATATATATATTTATATTTAGTACAAGGTTTTCAGAAAGACATGTTCGACAAAAAATAATACCCAAATTTGTAGTTAATTGCTTTTTAAATAAGACTTCAACAATAGGGTAGGTCGTCCCAAAACTTTTTTTAAACTATCGACTAAGAATAGCAATAAAAAGTTGCTTTAGCATATATGGATCACATTTGAATAAAATTTAAAAAAAAAATTTTGTTTAACTTTGCTGCCAGGGCCTTGAAAAATGACTTATATTTGCCATTGAAATAAGCTCATATAATATATAACAGTATTTCTATTCAATGCCAATTGTTTGATTAATATTAAAACCAAGATTTACATTTTATTATTTTGTTAAATTGTTTCCAAATTATTTTTTTTTGTAAAAAAAAATATTTTATTTTTTTCGGAATTTTTTTTTATAAAAATGCAATTTTTTTGTAAAAAAAAACACGAATTATTTTTTTTTGTAAAACAATTTCAATAATTGGAGTGATACAGTTACACAACATACTTTTCGGTATATTTGATTTAAAAGACTCTGTTTTTTGCATATAAGAGAAAGACATTGAATTTTATTATATTATAATATATATTTACTATTATAATATTATCAGTTTCAGTTAATCTCTCCTCTTTTCCAATCATTCTTCAAACCAAAATGTGGAACTTCTTTTCTTGATTCTAATTTTGCTCTTATATATCCATCACGTCTCAGAGCACCACAGACTGGCGATGATGCTTCGGTTACCAACTTTACATGTCGTTCCACGTTGATTATGGCAAGGATATTTTTTTAGTGTCCACTTCCGAGGTACTTTAATTGCTGCTTCAGTTTCGTCATCACTTATATCTCGTAGCATAGGTGGCGAGGTTCTTGGAACGTCTTGCCAATTTAGGAGACAATAGTATTCGGCAGCCTCAAAGTTAAGAGAAGGACATAGAAATTTTCTGATTTTACCTTCACCAGGTGCTGTGGCTTTTCTTGCACATTTAATTCGTCCGGCTGCAAGTTCTCTTATCTCTTCTCTGTCATCCAACAGCATTGCTGTTAAAATATTTTCTGGGTGACCAAAAAAAGCATTTCTTTGAATACATTTATTTATTACCTGGAGTTCATTTTTAGGAAGAAAACGCGTAAATTGAATCAAGCGCCACAGGTGCCTAGCATCCATATAACACTGAGGTTGTATTTTTGTAAAAAAAAAACGTAGTGGAGCATAAACTATTAGAATGTAGTCCGTGAGCAATGTGAGTTCTTTAGAAGATGACGTGGTTGAAACATACATATTGGCTGCTGTATGCCAATGTGAATGGATTAAAGGACCAGGTTTTTTTTAGTCAGTTCTTTTTTTACTTTTCCAATTTTTATTGTTTTAACTATGTTGAAAAAATACTGCTGATATTTGTGATATCTTGTAAAAGTGTCGGCAAATTATTCTGTCGTTTTTCAAATTTCACAACAGTTAGCTCATGACATTTTCAAGTGCTTTCCCTATTGCTCCACAAAAAGCTTTTTTGGAGCAATAGGCTCTTTAATTTGGCTCCTAAAGTAAAGTAATATGTTTTTCAACAGAAAAGCTCTTGCTACAAGTTAATGACGTACAAATAGTTTTGTCTTTTCTTCCATCAAAGAAAATTGACTTTGGACCTAGAGTTATCTTCGCTTCATACGTTAATTTGGCTCAAAGCTGTTGCCTTTGTCGTCTCAGCTTTGAGCGGTCAATAATAGCTGTCCTGTCGTTTTTTTATAACTCCATAGTCTGTGAGGGCAGCTGTAGCTAAGCAGCTCCTGCAACATCAGATACGCCATACCTATCGCATTCTCTAGCCTCTGTAGGAAACTGGAGCATATTTCTAAAAGATTCTGCGTGAGACACCTTGGACTTTTTCCAAACTCTTTGTTTTAAATTTCTTTTAACACACGTTTTAAATCAATCACTAAACTTTATATAAAAAAAACCGTTCTATTTCATTTGATGAGCAAGAGCATCGACTAATTTGAACATGCGTCACAACTACCAGAATTTGAAGCCCAGTTACTCCTAATTTTAGTAATTGCAGTTGTTTATAACTATTTCCAAATTTATTATTAATTATTAGTATAGCATTTTGATAACTGTGTTTATTATTTAGAACGAATTAAAAAATTAATATTGCTGTGAACGAGAAAATTTATGTCCTTGCAATTATTAATTTTCTTCATTTTGATCCTTAAAATAAGAAGTGTCGTTAGTAATTTGGAGTATTTTTATAATTCCTAAAATGACTAATAATAAAAATAATGATTACTCTAATCATTAATTATAGCTTTAAATTAAAATTAATTGTTTTACTAATTATTATTTACATTGTATAAAAAGCACAATATAAGCTAAAAATGCCAATCTTGCTCCACCTGGCGGCAAAAGAAGGTGAATTTTGATTTTGAAAAAAATTTTCATTTCATACTAGATCCATGCCATAGCAACTTTTTATCACTATTCACATTCATTTTTTTTCTGACGACCTACCCTATTCAACAAGACGTAATTTAAGAGATTCATATTTATTTAAGTCCGTGGCTAGTGCCATCGTCAGAGCCTAAAATTACAGGTATTAATTATTTAATTTAAATATTGAATTGAATTATATGAAATATTAAATCATTAAAATCAATTAAAAGTTGCTGATAAATGTGGCCTAAAATAAGTGTCACCATGTGTGATAACCTTTGTAAAATCAACATATTATAAACAATTAAAATAAAGTAATTAAACTTTTAACAAAATAGTTATGGATAAAATAAAAATTTTGCACATCGTAATATCATATATATATATATATTCTTGATGGTTCGATGTCAAAATATCAATTCGATTTCGATTATTTTAGGTTACAAAAATTCGATTTCGATTTTTTTTTCAAATGAAAAGCAACACAATAATTTGCATTTAAATTTTTGGTAACAAGTTTCTGGCATTATTTCTAATTTTAATTTGATAACATTCTTTTAAAAAGCAGTTAATCAAATAAAGGATGTTAAAGTTTAGTCCAACCGCAAGTTATGACATAAAAAAACTAATTGTTCCACATGTTCTGGTTTTAGTCGGTTTCGTCGTTCATTTATTATTTGACCAGACATGGAGAAAATCTGTTCACTAGGCACAGATGTAGCAGGAATTGCAAGATACTTTCTTGCCACTTTAGCAATTGTTGGAAAGCGAGATGCATTATCGGCCCACCACTTTTAAACAGATTCTTCAGGAGCAATAATTTGTTCTTGAAGAAAACAGTCCAGTTCACTTTTCATTCTATCTTTAGGTGATTGACGTTGCTGTCCTTCAGCAGCAGCGGCAACAATATCTTTAAATGTTCCCCATAACGATATTTGTGAACAGTCGAAAGGAGCCGACTCTTTTTTTCCAACATTAGATGCTTTATTTACAGATTGTGCACCAGGTGAAGGAAGTGTAGATGTATGTTCAAAGATCATTTTATCTACAACGTCATCGCAAGCATTTTTTGAGGCTTCTTCATTTGTAAATGCATATCGTTTAAATCTTGGGTCAATTAAGCTTGCCATCGCAAACACCTTATTTTTTTCGTGATCTGGCCAACGTGCCTTAATGCCCTGAACTAATGTAGTTTTCAAGTTGATGTGTTCACCGCTGACACTAAAATCTTCCATTTTTCTTTGCAAAATATTCAGCAACGGTATGACCATTGAAGCAGCTGGATATCTTGTGCCAGAAATAAGCTTGGTGGCTTCCTCAAAAGGTTTAAGAGCCTTGATAAAATCGGCAGCCATTCTCCATTCTTGTGCAGTTCGGTTTTCTATTGTGTCGCTTGAAGCCAGTAACATACTCAATGCATCTTTTTGTTCTACAAGTCGTGACATCATATAATAAGTCGAATTCCATCTTGTTACGCACTCCATCTTAAGTTTGTGTGTACCACCTGCCTTTGTCCCACCAGTAAACGTTGTGTTGCTTTACTGCTGCGATGAAAATGTGCAACAATAGCTCTCGCTTTAGTCAGGAGCGTTGTTATCTCTTTATTGCTGTTGATAGCATCCGTGACTACTAAGTTTGTAGTGTGTGCAAAACATGTAAAATGTTGAAATGTTGCGAGCTGTTTCATATACGACTTCATATTAGCTGCATTGTCTGTAATAACAAAAATCGGAATATTGACATTTGGTATCCAGTCTTTTACGCAGTCATCAATAGCCTGAGCCAAATTTCTACCAGTGTGGCTTTCTAGAAAATGAGTTGCTTTAAGGCATTCGTTGTGAATGACGAAATTTTCGTCAAGATAATGAGCCGTGAAACATAAGTACGAATCGTTGGTGTTTGACGTCCACCCATCGGTTGTTAAAGCCAATGATGCCACTTGTTGAATGGATTCTGCAATGTCTTTTTTGAAACTTTCATACAAACATGGGACGATTTTTTTAGACAGTTTGTGGCGATCAGGCAACTTGTAACGTGGCTCCAAAGACTTGCTGTATGCCACAAAACCTTTATCTTGTACTATGCTGTAAGGCTGTAAGTCGGTACATATCATTTTTGCCAACTTCAAAGTAGCTGCTTGAGCTCGGGGATGGTTCGGTTCCCATTCTTTCAATGAGGTCGAATAGTCAAACATACTAGTTTGATCTTTGTTGTCATCCTATAGTGACAAGATATATTAACTACTTAACTAATAATAACTTTAAATGAATATTTATTAATTTAGGTTTATAACAGTTGCAATGTTTTTAATTTTTAAAATGAAGAACAAAACAAATTTTAACGCACCTTTTTTTTCGATTCTTCAACGCAAGATTTTTTGGCATTTAGTTCTTCAGACAAACTTGGATGCGTATTTTGCAAATGTTGCAAAATTGTAGAACAATTCGATTTCGATTATCGAAATCGAATCGAATTTTCGATTATCGTACCATCATTAATATATATATATATATATATATATATATACAGTTATTAAGAAATATCACCGCATTGTTGAGTCTGTAACTAAGTTTTTCAATTTTTTGAACAATTATTTTATCGATATTATTCAATTTATTCAAATTAATAATAAAATTTTTAATTATTTTAGACTGCATTTACGTATCATATCTACATTTACGTAAAAGCTTTTTTCGGTAACCTTTACCATCATCAGTGTAATAGAGCTTGTGATATTATTATATGTAGTTCATCCTGTATTTATAGTATTTTTAACAAAGGAACTCTTAAGTTCCATTATTTCTTTGTGTGAGTAATTTCTTTGTTGGTAGGATCGTTACTGCCTGTTGTTGGATGTTTATTACAGGGTTTCTATTTTTTATTAATAAATTCTTTGCCATTCTCAAATTGCTTATATTATGGTTGTAGAATAGCACTTAAGTATTTGAGTTTAATATTTTTCTTGTTGGCGGAAGCTTTATTAATAGAAAATAAAAACTCTGTAATATTTTTTACGATCCTTTACAATCCAAAGATTACAAATTTGGCAAAGATAACAATAATTAAGATAACAAATGATATTGCGCAATTGGATCATTCCAGCGATTATAACATTATGTATTTATATATAAAGATGATATAAGCCATGTATGGATAAATTTAATACTCCAAAATTTTGAAAATCTGGAAATTGTTGAGAAACTTTAAGGGTAATAGCATAACAATAACACTTAAAAAGGTAAACAAACAAAATTTGGGCTCCTAGGAACAAACGGAAATAATAACCCCGACATAAAAGACTTGACTTATCTAGTCGGTTTCTTTTATGTTTCAGATATATAGAATAGATTCACCGAATAGTAAATTTGTGCAAAAACTAAATAGCCGAATAGTCAAGTTAATCCACTATTTTGCCAAGGCCGAATAAAAAAATATTCCAAAGTTTTGAAAAAAATATAATCAAAAAGAAGCCATGAAAAAACAGTAGCCGATTCATGTCTGTCCAACAATTCTTCACCAAGATTATATTTGATGTCTTTTCAAATTCAGATGTTTTAACAACTAATGGCCAAAATAAATTTTTTGCTTATAATAAACAATTATTAATTTGGAATTCAAAAATAGTGGTGGCTTTTACGGAAGCTACATTATTTGGTTATTTGATCAAGAAATCCGTCCCCCAATAAAATTAACCCCTTTTGATTTTAAGGGCTAAGCTTATTGAGATTAGTTCTTTTACCCTGCCGTGTATTCAAAACTCATTTTACACAAGCCAATTGGTTGGGTTTTCAGCCCTAAAATACATCCTCGCACCGAGTCGACCCTTTTTGAGAGGTAGCGTATATAAGTAAAGTTGAATTTATTACTATTCAAAACTTTATAAGGTGTTCAAGAAAGCAGAAAATGTTCAACAGCGGGGGCTTGAACTTGAAGGGGTGAGGCGTTTGTTATATTTTAATGCAGTTAGTATTTCAATTGTCATATTTGTAAAGTTTTGAATAAAAAAGGTAAAGTTAAAAATATATGTCTAATAATGTTTTTATTTGCGATGATGTCGATTCCAGTTTTACATTTAACAAGCTTAACCACTTACGTCTATCATAACAGTGTCAATGAAACTGATAAAGTCTTACTAAAATCCTGTATGCTGAATACAATCCCAAGTCGAAAAATGTCGCTCGGCGGAGTGTATCATTCAATTTTATCCAAACATTCTAACAAAGTTTGCTCGTCTATGTTTCAAGGTATATTTTTTTAATTATTATTATATATATATATATATATATACATATATATATATATACATATATATATATACATATATATATATATATAAGCGATCTATAATTGAAAATGCTATTGCAGATCACGTGTATGTCCGTACGTCTTTAGGGAAAGAAACTAATTCTAAATTAAATGGCTTAGTAAAAAATAATGAATAATAGTTTAATTTGAGCAGATCACTTTTGAAATCCTAGTCTCAATTCAAAAGCTGTAAAAAATCAAGTGGTGACCTCAATAGAATCTATAATTAATTTTTTATCTTTCATTTATTTAACTAAGTCGAAAGATACAAAATAATTTGTACTTCGAGGTCAACATTCCTTTGTCGTAAAATCTATTAAAATTATATTTTCTTGAATGTTAAGCTGAAGAAATTGCAATGCTAGCAGGCCGCTTGAGAGAGACCAGTTTTTATTTCACTATTTATATTCATTTTTATCAATATATTAACATATATAGCGGATATTAATATATTAACATTTATAGCGGATGATTTTCGATACAATTTATTTTTTCAACTGTGTACTGCTAACCAGATAGCACCTTTCGAATGCAAAAAAAGCACCTGAGATTTTCTGTATCATCTCCATCTAAGTCATGGGAGAAAAACATTGAAGCGTGGAATATTAAAGAAAATACTTTTCTGTCTCAAAAGTTGATCCAAAGGTCAGTTGTTAACATTTATTAAGAAGGAATTTCAATGCAGGCTCTAAATTAAACTTATTTTTTATTAATATTTAATTAACATTGAGGTGAGGATGATGTGTGGGGTTAAAGTGAAGGATAGGAGGAGTAGTACAGAGCTGATGTCAATGATGGGACTGAATGAGGACATTGTGACATTGATAAGGAGATCGAGATTGCGGAGGTATGGACATGTGTTGAGAAGGGATGAAAGGGTCGGGATTAGGCGAGCGTTGGAGTTCGAGGTTGAAGGAGTGGTAGGAAGGGGTCGTCCGCGATTGGGATGGAGAGAGCAGGTGGAGAAGGACAGGGTGAAAGCGGGGTTGCGTGATACTGAGGCGAGTGACAGATGTGGATGGCGTCGAGGGGTATTTCGGTTTCATCATAGGTAGCCAAACGGCAACCCCCGATCTCGGGGAAAATGCCGTCTAAACGTGTGTTGTTATTTAATTAACATTAAACAAAACTAATTGATTAATGACAGCGACTTACAAAGCTTCAAAAACGTTTATTAGCGTACGTTCAAATTATTCCATCATGCTTTTTTAAAATTTGACAGACAAATCTGTTTGCTGATATTTGCACTTGAGACAGCTCTTTGAACTTGAAACAGGTCTTTGCACTTGTGACAGGTCTTTGCACTTGTCTCAAGTGCAAAGATGACTTGTCACAAGTGCACTTTAGACAGATCTTTGTACTTGTGAAAAGTCATCTTTGCACTTGAGACAGGTCTTTGCACTTAGCGCAGGTTTCTACCATTAAGCCGACACTAATGGTCGATAAGAAGTTTGCAAGTTGTTCAGAGTTAATAATATGGTTTTTTAATTACTTTGGTTTGTGACCACTGTTACTAAATGTCACATATCATAATTTTCAATTCATATAAAAAGGTTGGATGATAATGACGATTCTCTAGACAAAGACGATGCAATTACAAGTCGCCACATTGAAACTTATTGTAATGAAATTGTTGATACATCCCGAACGAACATGGATGTTGACAAAATCGTTATTGCTAGTGAATCAAACACTGACAGTTCCTTAGCAAGCACACAAGCAGACAAAATTATTAAGTCTGAAGAGAATAACACGAGTGTTGATGAAATTGACAGGTCACTAACAACAAGCAATGACACGTCCGTTTCTAATAATTCTTCATTATTTCTAACTGATACCAAAAGTTAGTTTAGTTTTAATTTCATGTTAATTTTCGTGTGTCAATTTACAAAATGGTAATTAAGTTTTATTTCCATGAAAATAAAATGTTATAACATCACCTATATTGCTCTGTTTTTATTGTAAACCTCACAATTAGAAGAGGGAAGTTAAGAGTTGCTATGTAGATTAAAATATTATTTGTATTAGAATTTGTACTAGTAGTAATAATGATAGTTTTAATAGGAATCCCTCTTCCTCAATTCCCAGAAATGTGTAGGCTTTATTGAATAAGTATTTTTTCATAAGTAGACATTGCAGCAGTTGAAGCAAAACACTGTCAACTCAACCTGCAACAAATTCCAGACTACAAGAGTCCGTATCATGAGGCTTCTTTCACTAATCGCAGTCCGGTAACATCATCATCTGACTGGTAGTTTTTCTAAAACAAATTCTCGATGACATCTTACTTATAACTCATCTTACTTATAACTTACCGTTATCACCGAAATATTTGGTACTAAATAATTTCGGCATCTATAGATTAACTATCTATTAGTCTTGCTATCCGTTGCTTCACCGGCAACCAATGAATATCAGGATTTGTTACGCCTCTATTCGGCCATAGCAGTGTAACTGACGAGCACAATATTTCTTAACCTGCATCAGCTTCCCCAATCAAAGCCTTTTTGTCAAGTGAAGCATGAATGTTATTAGTCAAAAATTGCTTCCAAGTTTCAGACGACAAAGCAGGTGCCCATGATGGGGATGGACGTTTTAATAATATTGCAACTATTATATTATACTATTGTATTATTTGGTTTTTGTGAAAAGGAGGATTAATTTTTGAAGTCAAGTTGTGTAGTGCATAATTTGTGTCAGTACTATGTTCGTTAACATTTTGAGATTAACGAACCAAATTTTTATTATTTTTTATTTTCATTCATGTTTTGTTTGGATTTTGTGCATGAACGTTCATTGATATGAGCAAATGGTTTTTATAATACGCACTCATTATTATGATATTACATTATATTATTGTAAACCATAACGAGGCTTTTTGAGTACTGATCCACATTAGCTTTACCTTATGAAAAAATAAAAATAGAGAACCGCTTTAGGGCAACTAACCCTAAAAGCTTCTAAAACCAATTTAAAAGATTGACAAAGTTATGAGTTTTTGAAATCTGTTATAAAATTTAAAAAGCAATTTGATTCCATCCATGAGTAATGATGGGTTGGCACAAAGACACAAAACTAGTTGATGATGACCGCTCTTCAGATCTTTGCTTTATAAGAGAATTAGAGAATCAATATATTTCAATATATTCAATTCACCTTAACTTGAATAACTTGACATAAACTTTTAGATGGCCGTATGGGAAATAAACTGGAAACTACTTGCACTAATTTAGATGAAAAACTTGGTTGTTTGAATGCAGAATCATCGTGAGATAATTTTAGATTAAAAATATTTTTAAATGGTATTTTATATTCGTAAAGTATGTAAAATTAAAGTACACAATGATTTTTCCGTTTTCTTTTCTTCAATAAAAATTTCAATCTTACAGGCCGGTTAGTTTTATTGGCAGTCATGACGATTGTAACTTGCAACGGTCAGAATCAGGTGGATCTCTTCAAGGTAATTTCGATGTTTCGTTCTTAATTAAAATTCACTTTATTTCAATTCAATTATGTTTTTCAACAATAAAATTTTAAAATGTGCACGACAGATTTACCTAGGGCAGATTTGAGTCAATTAGTCAGACCACCTCTGAGACGAGTAAAGAACAACGACAGTCCAAGTAAGTTTCATCATTTTTTTGTTTTGATTTTTTCTACCCTGAAGCCTGTTGTAACTTACAAAGCTGCAATTCAAAATCTGGCAGCCTGAAAGTAGATCAGTGAATCAATCGAGGCATGCCTCAATGATTCAGCAAAGCAGCCTGTTTTTGAATTTTATAGAATAGCTTCTCATTCATACCACAGCATTCTTTTCATTCTTTATTATTTTACGAATTTTTTTTTCAAGTTTTCTTTTGGTTTATTAACAAGGCTTATAAAAGGTAATAAGAGTTTTTACCAGTGTTAATGACGAGTGTTCATAACTTTTAAACACAGTGGCGTAACAAGGAAGAGTAAGGTAACTGCATCTTGGTCTCTTTTTGGTCTCTGGTCTCTTTTGGATTACCTTTTAACTAGTTTTATGAAATCTGTTAACTCTTATTAAGAGTATTTGGATATGCAAAAATATTGAACGGTTCGCAAGTAATAATATTCAATATATCAACTTTATCCAGCATCATATTTATCATATTTTATATATATTATTTGAATTAATCGCGTTTTTAGGGCATCTTAATATTAATACATCTGGTTTTTACTACATCGGTTGCGCGTACAGTTAATATTATACCGTTAATGTTTTATCTATGCTCTTCTCAATTATTCTAACCGTTTGTGGTAGGTTGTAAATATTTTAAATTTAATACAGTGTGACAGATATAATATACAATATTTTTAAATTAATACTTTTGGTTTTACTGACCCAAAAATCTTTTATTAAATTTAAATTTATTAAATTTAGTTAAATTTTTTCTTATTTTTCTATGACAATTATTATTGATATTTTTTGTTAAACTTCGGAAAAGGTGTAAATATATAAATCATTGTAAGATTGTAAATTTCACATATTTAAGATTCCTAACTTAATTTCAGTTTTATTATCCATTTTAAGTTGTTTTTACAGAAAGAGTAGTCTAATTAACAATAGTAGTACTGATATTTAAGCAACAAGTCTGAATTTTTAGCAACGCTCATTTTTCAGTGACTCAAAAATTGTAGATGCCTTTCAGTTTTTATTAATGGTTTGTACGATTCAATCCAAGCTCAATATAAGTTTTTGCATCTTTGTGTTTGAAAGTATGTTTTGATTTATTATTAAAATATTGATATTTTAATATATATTTATATATATATATATATTTATATATATATATTTTTGTAATATATATTATATATATAATATATATTACAAAAATATTGAAATATTAAAAGAAACTAATTTTTTTATTAACTGTCAGTAATGTTCAGAAATCTCTGTGGCATTAAGCTAAAATAAAAATGAAGATAAATTTGAAAGTTTGCATAATTTTGAGGGGGCGCCAAACAAGGTCTTGCACCAGTTTCTCTCGTAAACACACAGTAGCCAATCTAGACAACTTTGACTGGAGCCCAAAATTTTTAAAATGTTAAAATTTTTTGACGCTAAGTTTGTGGTAGTGTAGCCAAAATTAGGCTGGCGACTTTTTGGTTTCACGTCAATTTTTGGTTGATTTTTTTAAGTAAAACGGTGTTTTTCTGTGCAGAAACAGAGTTTTACTGACTTTTAATAAAAATATTGCTCACAAATATTGCTAGATCCGCCACTGTGAACACATATCATTATTATTATTTGATTTGGACAAAATTACTTCAATTTTATGTCTTAAAACGTACTAAACAAAATTATGTGATTGTATTCACGTTAACAACATTTCTTTTCAATATTAAAGATAGTTGCACCACGCTGCACATAATTAAATAATAAGTCGTATTTCATTTACAGGAGCTTCCAAATTAACACCTCGAAGATCTTCAAGGCGTAGCACTGCGTTGACAGAACTGAAACATAACCTGCTCACAACTGAACCTGTTTCATCTATGTCAACAAGTTCTTCATATCACATTGACACTCTTCTCGATACTTCAATTCAAAAATCCAGTTCACATATAAAGAACGAGAATTATAAGGAAGAGAATGAGGCGTCAACAAGCTCTTCGCAGAAAATAAATGATAACAATTTAAATGATGATGTATATTGTCAAATATGCTTTTCCTGTGCAGCAAGAGAAGAAACAGTCGAAACTAATGATAGGCACGATCCAGGTGTAGTTGAATTCAAATCTTTTATACAAGATATTAATTTTCGAACCCCAGTAAAGCGTCCAAAAGGTGATCATGATGTGGGGAGGCAGTCGAGCAGGAAATCTGTCAGTAAACTCAAAAAACACATGAATAGAGATGATGGGGATGGCTCCGGAGAAAAAAAACTGCAACAAGCAGAGGAGTGTCATGAACCAGTTAAAAAATCATTAAAAATGGATGAGTATTCTATTGAGCCTAACGAAAGATTGACACCTGCTCAAAGGTTGATCAGGAGTAAACGTCTGAATAAAAAAATTAATTCAGAAGATAATAAGGTAAAGTAACCTGTTATTCTAATTAATATCGGCAGTTCGAAATTTTGATAATAAATTACATTAAAAATGTTTAATTGAAGCCCCTGAACGATCAGCACGTCAAAATGTTGCCCAACGTATCAGATCATTTTTCGATGGCTGATATTAAGAATGCAGACACTACATTTAAATTTTCAAACCCTTCTGTCAAGCACACAAAAAGTTAGTACAACGAGCTCATACAAGAAATTAAAACAATTTCGATTTATGTTCTAATTTTAATTTTCATCATTAACGACACAGCAGCATTTAGTTTTTACTTTTTTTACCAAATTTGTTTTTACAGGAAAATCAGAAACTAGGTCCGGATCAATGAAGTTCGTCTTCTCGCCTCCACTCACCAGGGCAAGGCAAAAGAAACAAATTGATGACCATGACGAAACAAAGAATAAACGTTAACAATCGAACTTTTATTACTAATCTCTGTTTCGCATGCGTTGATAGAAAAATTTAATAAATTTTTTGGAAGTTTTGGTTGGCTGAAGTATGTGCACATATCTTCCAACAACTGTCTTTGTTTTTAAGTGTACGAACGTTATTAGAAACAATTAACCTTTTCAATTTTATTTCTAGAGCAAAATGATTATATATAAATGACAGATCATGAAGATTTATCTTTTTGTCTTTTTTTCACATCCCAGTTGTAAACTCGAGCCATGTCTTTAACGTGGGAATTAAGGAAATTAACTAAACATGACAAAAAATGTTTATATTTATCGTTCTGTAGCATCTTGCGAAAATAAATTAAACTTAGGTCGTAATTTCACATCCCGAACTTGTCATGTTCTGCATATTCACATAAGAAATTTTACTCTGCCATGCGCTCATTTAAATCCACTTTCTTCCAAAAATCTTTATTTAAACAATTCATAAGCTATTTACGCCTTTTGTTTATTGTCCCTACAGACGCAAATTAGTTTTGAAAATCACAACAGTCGTTTATTTGCGTTTTATTATCGTACCCATCCCATCATCGTGCCCATTTTACTGTGTATGTACATCAACACAGTAGCTATCGTCTAGCGAACAAATCATTATTTTATTCATCTTGCTGGGCACAACTGCTTTCATCTATATTCTTTTTGCACAAAATAAAGGCACTTACTTAGTCTACCTTATAAGACAATTAATTAGGCGTGCATAGATTTCAAGGAGAGAAAATCGATTCAATTAATACCTCAAAAAAGGATGGCTTTTCAATTTTTGGCTATCATTTTCTGTAGATGACGCTGGACAGGATTTTACTAGTCTATCACATATTAAAAGGATACTGACTTCAATAGTCGTCGTCTGATCTCTGATGAAGCCCAAATCATCATCTACTGCAGAGAGCGTTTTTACGGCTGTTTCTTGATTCTTTAGCAAAAGCTCCCTTGCTTCGTCAATATCATACTCAAGCATAACATTCGCCTGTTAATGAATACGCAGTTTAATAATGATAACAATTAAGCATTGAAATGTCTTCACTTACACCTAGCCACAAGCAAACACTGTTAGTTGGTTTGATTTTGGCCTTAGAAAACAGAGAATCGTTCAGTTGGTAATGACTTTCAACTGTTGAACCTGATTTCTGAAGCCAGTTAATCGATTAATTAATAATTATATACAATTTGTTTGAATAAAAAATATAACCACACTATTATATGAGTGAAGTACTCACCTTAAGGTGCTCTAAATAAGAAATAATATTCAGAGACGATTTTAACTCTGGAATTTGTGCTTTCAACCTTGAGAAGAATAATAATTTATAAGTTCATTGATATTCAAAGTGACGTTTGCAAATATTAAACAAATATGTTTTTTTTTGAAACATATAAGTTAAAATATATAAGCCAAAAATTGCTACAAGGGCTATTTTGTTCAGGGTGTCAAATCTGTTGTATAAAAATTTGTCCAACTCTTTGAAAATTTTTCTACTACAACTCTAACAACCAGGAAAAATTTTAAAATTTTGCTTTACAGTTTTGATCAAAAACCGTCACTGAATCAAAATTTTCAAAAAACACTTAAAAGCAATCGTTTTCTTCAGTAAAATTATTCTATAATCATGTTTTTTAATAAACTTACTGAAAGATAATATAATTATTTGCCTTATTGTCGCAGTGATTATTCATAGCTGCACAAATTGTAGCGTTTTTAGGAAAATTTCACATTTGGCAAATCTTTTAACATCACTAAAAAGAGAAACATTCCTACATCATCGTGATTGGCAAAATGATTGAATTAAGTATAATCAATCAATTTATTTTTAAAGCGCAGTTTCACTATGTTGAACAGCATTCCACAATTAATTTTGCAAACAGTGCTTGCCTTCAACATCTCAACAACATCAACTTCAATAGTATCGACTTCAACATCACCACCACCAACAATACTCTACCAGCAATTTTTAATAATAATACTATTAATTTTGAGAATATTACCAGCAATTTTTAATAATAATACTATCAATTTTGATAATATTGATATAATTTTGATAATTTTTATATAAATGAAATGGATACAACTGATCGACTAATTTGGCGCAAAAAGTTGATGGCAAAGAAAACAACGTCCTACCTCGGGAAACCGGGTCTCTGGACGCAAAACGAAGATTGATTGAATTTTGATAATATTAAAAATAACAATGATAATAATAGTCCTACTAATAGTAATAACACCTGTAGTAATAATATTAACAATGGTGCCAATGATAATAATAATAACAATATTAACGATAATACGTTCATAGCTAACTCTATTGACAATTTTTTGCAACATTGTTTTGATAAATTTTACAAAATCATCAACTCAACTTACAACACGTACTACCCAACATCAAACATCACGATCAGATCATCAGACCCTCCATTCATCAGCCCATTCATCAAATATCTACTTTGCCAAAAAATAAGTTCATGAGATCAGGATCCATCGTCAAAGCCGCAGCGATCACCATATACATCAATAAACTAATCATCAACTTCAACTCAAAAACTTTCGCTAATAGTAAGCGTGGACGCAAAGCCATGTGGGACCAAGCCAACAAGATTAGAGGCTCTGACAAATCATTCAACACGTCAACCTCACAGCAAATTGATGCCAACACACTCAACACCCACTTTGCTTCCATGTCAACCGACCCGTCCTACAAAACTCCTCCAACAAAAGCAACAACAATCAATAGTCGTCAACATCAATAATTTACCCCATACTCCGTCCTGCACATGCTAACGAAGGCCTGTCCATCCGGTACAGGTCCAGACGGAATACCAGCATGGTTTCTACAAATCATCGCTCCATTCATCTCCAGCACCTTATGTTCACTCTACAATCTTACAATCTCCAATATTAAAAGATCAGTTTGCATTTCGCCCTACAGATTCATCTACATCCGCCATCATCTCTCTTACTTCCACAATAACATCTCTCTTTAAAAATAATAATTATGTTCATCTTATTGCTCTCGACTTTTCTAAAGCTTTTGACACTATTAATCACTTCTCACTTTCAAATAAATTAGCCTCTCTCTTTTCCTCTACCTAACATTTACAATATTATAATAAATTTTCTTTATAATAGGAGTCATTTTACTTTCTTTAGCTCTACTCTTTCATCTACTCTACCTATTAACTCTAGCGTAGTTCAAGGTTCTGCCCTTGGACCATCTACCTTTATCATCAGCGCTTCTACTCTTAAAACTTTTCATAGCTCTAATCACATCATCAAATACGCTGACGCACCTACCTATCATCACACCATCTAACTCAAACACCATCTCCTTGCCTTTATATTGATGCAGCGTGACATTCCACTATCACTACGATCAAGACTTTATAAATCTGTGATACGTTTGGTGTTGTTATATGGTGCAGAAACATGGCCAATGACAACCAAACTGGAACAACAACTTCAACGAACCGACATGAAAATGCTCCGATGGATGCAACGAATTAGTCTGAAGGACCACATCAAATCTACCGAAATCCTGCGTCGTGCTGGTTTAGATGATATAAAGGACGAATGCCGGCAACACCGTCTGCGGTGGTTTGGTCATGTCAAACGAAGTGGAAACGGTGCCATAACTTTTCTTGCAGATGTCCCAAAGGCTGTCCAAAGATGTCCTGGTCGCAAACAATCGAGCAAGACATGAAAGCTCTAAAT